TGATCATATGGTATCAAGAAGCCCTAGCAAAACTGGAATCAATGGGTATCAGGGAAAACACTCTGCTGGTTGGAATCTTACCTGGCACATAAAGATGGTTGACATTGCTGGAGGTCAGTCATTTCAGCTCCAGGACATCACAACACGAGTTCCTCAGGTTAGTGTCCTGGACCCAACTATCTTCAGTTGCATCATCTTCCCTCCATCATAAGATCAGAAGTGGGGCTGTTCACCAATGATGCATAATGTTCAGTAGTATTTGTGACTCCTCAGATACCAAAGCAGTCCATATTCAAATGCATCAAGATCTGGACAATATCCAGGCTTGGGCTGACACGTGACAAGTAACATTCATGCCACACAAATGACAGGTGATGACCACCTCCAGTAGGAGACAATCTATTCACCTCCCCTTGACAATTAATGGTTTTACCATCACTGAATACCCTCTCATCAACATCCTTGGGGCTACCATTGACCAGAAACTCACCTGGACTCAACAACCACAGTAGCTGCAAAGCAGGTCACAGGCTAGGATAACCATGGTGAGTAACTGACCTTCTAACTCCCAAAATACTGTCCACCATCTACAGGGCACAACTCAAGAGTCTGGACAGGTCAGGTCCAACAACACTCATGAAGCTTGGACAAAGCAGATTGCTTGATCATCACCACAATCACCACTGACATTCAGTGGCAGCAGTGTTCACTCCCTACAAGATGCTTTGCAGAAATTCAAAGACCCCAAACAGCACCTTCCAAACCCACAACCACTTCCATCTAGAATGACAAGAGTAACAGATACATGGGAACACCACCACCTGCAAGGTCCCCTCCAAGTCACTCACCACTCTAACTTGGAAATGTATCATTATTCGTTCACTGTCGCAAGATCCAAATTCTAGAATTCCCTCCCCAAGTGTATTATGGGTCAACCTACAGCATGGAATTGCTGAAGTTCAAGAAGGCAGCTCACCACCACCATCTCATGGGCAACTCGGGATGGAAAATAAATGCTGGCTACCAGTGATGCCCACATCCCATGTAAATAAAAACAAATTTACAACTATGGTTCCAAGGATGACAAGTTTCAGTTATGAAGATAGATACGAGAGAAGGTTGCTCACAGGAGATCTGACAGAAGTACTCAAAATCACAAGGGGGCTGAATACAGTACATAGGGAAAAACCTAGGGCAGCAAAGCGGTTAGCACTGTTGCCTCACTGTGCCAGGGACAAGGATTCAATTCCAACCTCTGATGACTGTCTGCATGGAATTAGCACATTTCCGTGTCTGCATGGGCTTCCTCCAACTGCTCTGGTTTCCTACAAGAGTACGCAAGATATGAAGGGTTTTTTTTGGGGGTTGGGGTTGGGTTGGGGGGGGGGGGGGGGGGGGCGGGGGTGAAAGAAGAGTGGTGGGGAGCTCTTCAGAGGGTTGGTGTGGAGTCAATGAGCCAAAATGACCTGCTTCCATTCTGTACAGTGTTCCATGAAACTGTCCCCTCTAGTAAAATGACCAGGAATGAGGGCATAGATTTAAAGTGATTTGTAAACGTACCAAATATAGTGGGACTATTTTCTTCACACAAGTGGTTTTAGTCTGGAATGTACTCTTTGGAAATAAGGTAGAAGCAGAATCAATTGAGGCATTCACAAGAAGTTGTCTACAAAAATGACTGAGCTTCAACAACATCAATTCAACAAACCACCTTGTTGCCTGGCCAACATCTATTTCTAGTATTTACTGCAGTGCTTCAGTAAAGCTCAGCCCAAGCTGAAAGAACAGCACCTCATTTTCCACTTGGGGGCCCTGCAGCCTTCAGGACTCAAGATCGAGTTCAATAATTTTAGGGGCTGAGCATCTTCCTCTATGTCCTTCCTCCATCCCCAGACACCAGGCCTTGTCATTACATGGGCTGCTTTCACCACAGCTAATCCATTTTCACCCACCATTAGTGCTTCTTAGCAGCTTTTGAAGTCACATGGGATCCACAGTGAGCTAGTAAGACGGATACAGAACTGGCATTTTTAGTCATGTATGATGGAAACAAAGTGCAAGTCAACAATGCCTCAGTTATCAGTACTACAAAACACATTTACAATCAAGGTAATTGATGCGGCTACCAACAATCATTTAAGCATTTCATTTTTTAGAGCTTTTGTTCTGTGGAATTTTATATAATTGGATATTTTTAGTTTTGCCTTTTGCATTTGTCAAAGGCATTCCCATTTTCCCCAATGCCAATTAGTTTTATTTCTAAATTTGCACCCTTTGGCTTGAGATCTCCTCACTGTCCAATTAAAAAGCTGATATATTTACTTGTTATTCTTCCACCCTGCCCAACCCCATTCCCCAACTAACAGGGCCTTCAGAAGGGGTGTACAGATTCCTTTTGGAATACATTATTGACAAGTTTTCAAAGCTTTTGAACACAATTTTTGATTTGTGAAGAGGCTGTGCCCCAATGTAACTAGCAAACAAAACTAAACAACTGTAGATGCTGGAAATATGAAACACAAACAAGAGTGCCGGGCAATGGCCTAGTGGTATCGTCGTGCAACTATTAACCAGAACCTCAGCTAATGTTCTGGGGGCTGAGGTTTGAACACTGCCACAGCAGGTGGTGGAATCAGAATTCAATAAAAGTCAATCTGGAATTTAGAATCTACTACTGACTACAAAACCATTCTCAATTCTTGCAATATCCTTCGAGCAAGGAAATATGCCATCCTTACTTGGTCTGGCCCACATGTGACGCCAGACCCATAGTCGTGTGGTTGATTCTCAACTGCCCCAGTAAGCCACACAGTTCAAGGGCAGCTACTGACAGGCAATAAATGCTGACCAGCCAGTGATCCCATGAGTGAACAAAAGAAAAGACAAAGTAAAGGTGGAAGGGTGTTTTTCAGATCAGAGATCTGGGGGCAGTGGTGTTCTCCAGGGATCAGTGTTGTGACCCCTTTTGTTTGTATATATACACACATACTATTTATAATTTGGAGGAGAATGTAGGTGACCTGATTAGTAAATCCGCTGACAACACAAAGACTGGGAGAGTTGTGGACAGTGAGGAGGATTGCCAGAAGATACAGCAGGATACAAATAGGCCAGGGACTAGAACGAAGAAATGGTAGATAGAATTTAAATCAGACAAATGCAAAATGATGCATTTTGGGAGATCTAATGCAAGAGAGAAGTATACAGTACATGGCAGCACCTTTCTAAGTATTAAGGTATGAGGAACCTTGGCATACAGGTCCACAGCTCTCAGAGTGGCAACACAAGTGGATAGGTTGTCATGAAAGCATACGGCACGCTTGCCGTCAAGGCAAAGAATATAAAAATTAGCAAGTCACGTAGCAGCTGTATAGAGCTTTAGTTAGGCCACATTTGGAAAACTGTTTACCATATGGATGTGGAGGCTTTGGAGAAGGCACAGAAATGGTTTACCAGGATGTTGCCTGATCTGGAGGCTTTGGCTGAGGAGGGATTGGACAAACTTGGTTTGTTTTCACTTGAATGGAGACAACCTGAGAGAAGTTCACAAAATTTATGAGGCCTGGATTGAATAAAGAGTCGGATATAAATGTCAATTACTGGGGGACATCAGTCTGAAGTAAATAGGGTAAGCTTAAAGGAGATGCGAGACACAAATTTCTTATATAAAAGATGTTAAGTGCCTGGAACACGTCATCAGAAGAGGTGGTGGAGGCAGATACAACAGCAACATTTAAGAGGCATCTTGACAGATATACAAAGTTGCAGGAATATAGGGATACAGACAGCATAGAGGCAAAAGATTTTTATAGTTTAGAAAGGCATCATGTGATGGCATAACCTTAGTGGGCCAAAGGGACTGTTCCTCTGCTCTACTGTTTTTTTCTTTTTTTCCTTCCAGGCTCACCATTATCCATTTCTTTGTCAACTGCTGGTCTCACTGTATCTCTGGGCTCCATTTCCGCCTTCTGTTTGCTCCTTCCCCCGACTATCGTTTACTCCTTCCCTTCTCCCCATCTCCAGCATTTTACACCAACCTTTTCCTAGCTACAGTGAGGCCAATAGCATTAAATTGGTTCAGTGATTTCTACTTCATGACAGAACTTTGGGAGAAGTGGCTTCAACAGTACATCCTACGGAGGAGTATCACATCTCCTGGTCAAAACCTACACCTAGATTACATTAAATTTACATGAAGGTTTCCATTCTCAAGATTTGGTGTTAACAATTACAACCTTAATTCATTCCATAATAAAAACTACTTACTTTCAGAGCTTACTGGATGAGGTTCGCAGCAAATCAAAACAAGTACAAACCCTCAGCTTAAGGAAAGGTGGGAAACTAAAAGCTGAATTGAATTCTAGTAAAAATGTGCTGCCCCTTTACAGCTTGGGGACAGCCAATATAAAACCACATTTTCAAAGTCTGAGTGGCAAGACATGCGCTGGCAAAACATGCCAACACAAAAATAGACTCTCCTCATCAATAAAAAAACCTGAACTTTTCCTAAGTATCACAGAATCCCTACAGTGTGGAAACAGGCCATTCGGCCCAACAAGTCCACACTGCCCCTCCGAAGAGCATCCCACCCAGACCCATTCCCCTATCCCTGCATTTCCCATGTCTAACCCACCTAACCTAAACATCCCTGGGCACTATGGGCAATTTAGCATGGCCAATCCACCTAACCTGCACATCTTTGGACTGTGGGAGGAAACCCACGCCGACACGGAGAATGTGCGAACTCCTCACAGACAGTCGCCCAAGGCTGGAATCGAACCCAGGTCCCTGTCGCTGTGAGGCAGCAAGTGCTAACCACTGAGCCACCACGCCATCCTAGTATCTAAGGTAATGATTCACCCAGAATTGAATTTCCAGATTCTGTACCAGTAATACTGAGGTATCCAATTTTAACTTTTATTAGTTACTTTTCAGAGTCTTAATTGTTGAGCAACAATGAAAATTTAGGAATTAATTTATTAAGGAGAAAGTAATCTTACCTGCATCAAGTTAAATCTTGCCACTTCGTTAATTGGAGCATCAGAGATTATCCCATACTGTTCTGGATTCACAATTGCTGGGCAAATAAAGTAGGCAAGCAACAAATCCGTACACATGGCTTTCACTTCCCCAACAGCCAACCCTTCCACACATGACAAGGTTTTATACATTTGCGATACAATCCAACGTAAACTATGTGGAAAACAGTAAATATTTTGTTTAAGATATCCAATAAATTTGTTGACCAAAGCTACCAGCTTTGCTTCATTGCTTTCTACCATCTCCTGCACTTTCCTTCTGAACTGCTCCGTGCCCTTCTCCCCAAAAACCTTCTCTTGCTGCGCCGGAGTAAATCTTTCAATAAGCTTTTTTGGGTCAGTTTCCAAGTGATCTTCATCTTCTACAAGCAGCAGCATAATTGGTTCATGTAAAGTTGCAGTAAGAAAGAGTTTTGCAGAGTACAGACCCTCTGAAAAAAGCTTGAACAAAACGCTGAAAGTACAAGCACCTTTTCGAAGCAGTCGCCTGGGGTTATCGCTCTCTTTCAACTCAAATTCAATTAGGTAGCGCAACACTTGTAGAAGATAGCTCTCATCTTCCTGCATAATGCAGTTACCATAAAGGGCAGTAAATACTGTAAGGATTACATTGTGGGTGCTCTCATGATTAAGCTTCTCCCCAGCAACCAAGCAGGAGGCAACAAGTCTTGGATTTTCTCTCAAGCGATTCAAAAATTCACCATATAGTGTCTCTTGGAATCCCAGCTGCTTGTATCCATCCACAAACTGTGTATTCTCCAAAATCTTTGCATGTTTGCAACATTCTGCCGGAGAAGCTTCCACACTAAAAAAAACAAAAAAAATTCCGAGTGTAATTGAATATCACTTTCACCCAAATCATTTAGACATGTCAGAGGCATCTCCAACTGTCTTGAAAATCAAAAAACTTTGTACATTTCTTCTCTCCACTCCAGAATCTTTGACTATTGTTTGAACAATTCATGATTGGATACTTCGGAAACATTTCTTGGGGTGTATTCTCCCCGCCCTTGTCCAAGTTTGTGACCACTGTCGTGGCCTCTCTTTCATGATATCAGGTGTCAACAGTCGCATTGCACACTGTCCAACAGCCCTGGCCAGTTAACACACAATGCCAAAAAGTGGCAAGTAACATTTGTGCCACACAAATGCCAGATAATGACTATCTCCAATGAGAGACAAATTTTATTGACATTTGACATTCAAAAAGGTGCTCCTATCACAAACTCCTACATCAACATCCTGGACCAGAATTTGAAGTGGTCTTGCCGTATACATACGCTGGCTACAACAGAAGGTCAGAGATTGGCATACTGCAGCAAGTAATTCACCTTCTGACTCCATAAAGACTGTCTACTATCCACAAGTCAGGAGTGTGATGGAATGCTCCCCACTCACCTGGATGGGTCCTGCTCTACCAATATTTCACAAAGCTTGACATCATCCAGGACAATGCAGCCCAGTTGACTGGTATCACATCCAGAAACAGTCACTCCACCACTGACACTCAGTAGTTCACACCTCTGCTATCTCCTATAACAAGGTGTAGAGCTGGATGAACACAGCAGGCCAAGCAGCATCAGAGGAGCAGGAAAGCTGACGTTTCAGGTCAAGACCCTTCAGAAATGGGGGAGGGCAAGGGGATTCTGAAATAAATAGGGAGAGAGGGGGAGGCCGAAAGAAGATGGATAGAGGAGAAGATAGGTGGAGAGGAGACAGACAGGGGCGCGATGGAGCCAGTAAAGGTGAGTGTAAGTGGAGAGTTAGGGAGGACGGACAGGTCAAGGAGGCAGGAAGACGTTAGTGGGCAGGAGATAGGGGTGGGCTCAAGGTGGGAGGAATGGTTCGGGAGGCAGCTACGAGCTGGGCTGGTACTGGGATGCGGGCAGGGGAGGGGAAATTTTGAAGCTTGTGAAGTCCACGTGGGAACCCTGCAGCCCAAGGGTATCAAAGCAAAATAGGAGGTGCTGTTCCTGCAGCCTTCGGGTGGCATCACTGCAGCAATGCAGGAGGCCCAGGGCGGACATGTCGTCCAACGAGTGGAAGGGGGAGTGGAAATGGTTTGCGACTGGGAGGTGTAATTGTTTGTTGCGAACCGAGCGCAGGTGTCCCACAAAGCAGTCCCCAAGCCTCCGCTTGGTTTCCCCGATGTAGAGGAGGCCACAACGGATACAGTATACCACATTAGCAGATGTGCAGGTGAACATCTGTTTGATGTGGAAGGTCTTCTTAGGGCCTGGGATGGGGGTGGGTGTAGGGGCAGGTGTAGCACTTGCTGCGGTTGCAGGGAAAAGTGCCGGGTGAGGTGGGGCTGGAGGGGAGTGTGGAGCGAACAAGGGAGTCACAGAGAGAGTGGTCCCTCCGGAAAGCAGATTAGGGTGGGGAGGGAAAAATGTCTTTGGTGGTGGGGTCAGATTGCAGATGGCGGAACTGTCAAAGGATGATGCGTTGGATTTGGAGGTTGGTAGCGTGGTACGTGAGGACCAGGGGGATTCTGTTTTGGTTGTTATTGCGGGTAGGGGGTGTGAGGGATGAGTTGCGGGAAATGCGAGAGACACGGTCGAGGGCGTTTTCGATCACTGTGGGAGGGGAAGTTGCAGTCCTTGAAAAAACTGGGACATCTGGGATGTCCGGGAGTGGAATGCCTCATCTCGGGAGCAGGATACTTTGTAGGATACGTGGAACAATCCCTCTTCCAAAGCTACACTGGCCCTATCCCCCACCGCTTCCTCCGTTACATTGATGACTGTATCGGTGCCGCCTCGTGCTCCCATGAGGAGCTCGAACAGTTCATCTACTTCACTAACACCTTCCACCCCAACCTTAAGTTCACCTGGACCATTTCTCATACCTCTCCTTCCTGGACCTCTGTCTCCATCTCTGGCATCCACCTGGAAACCGATATCCATTTCAAGCCTACCGACTCCCACAGCTACCTAGAATATACTTCCTGTCACCCACCTTCCTGCAAAAAGGCCATCCCCTTTTCCCAACTCCTCTGCGTCCGCCGCATCTGCTCCCAAGAGGCGGCATTCCACTCCCGGACATCCCAGGTGTCCTCCTTTTTCAAGGACCGCAACTTCCCCTCCACAGTGGTCGAAAACGCCCCCGACCGTGTGTCTCGCATTTCCCGCGACTCATCCCTCACACCCCCTACCCGCAATAACAACCGAAACAGAAGCCCCTTTGTCCTCACGTACCACCCCACCAACCTTCAAATCCAACGCATCATCCTCCGCCATCTGCAATCTGACCCCACTACCAAAGACATTTTTCCCTTCCCACGCTTATCTGCTTTCTGGAGGGACCACTCTCTCCGACTCCCTT